GGGATCTGACAGGATGCAGTGCAGTTGTTCATCAGCTCCAGCAGCCAGCGCCTTGCTTTTGGACCAAAGTTCTTGATTTGTTCCATCCGTAGATCATCCAAGCCAGCTGCTTTGCCATTCTTACATTTGTTGAGAGCCATGTCCAATTCAGTAGATGTAAAGGGTTCATGAAGGTTGTTGTTCTCAATCTCTTGTTGTCTGGCTATTGGTTTCTTTCCTACTTTGGTGGCAAGGTTGGGTTTCCCGTTCTTCAAGAGTTGGTGTGCTATCTGGTCTGCCTTTATGTTGGCATGGGTATTAGTTTGTGAGGGGTCATTGCTCAGCCGTCTTAGCAACCTCCACGCCTTCTGGCTGCTCCTGCCCATGTCGACCTCTGTGATCAGCTTGATCCACTGTTCTTTCTTGGCTTCAGAGATGGAGGACACAATGCTCTGCGCTGCCTGAAGGGTCTGCTCACTAAATGGGTCTTCGTTGTGGAGCCTGTAATAGTTTTCCAACAAGGCAGCTGTTTCAGGAGTAATGCCCTGAAGGTAGTGGGTTCTGCAGCCTCTCGGTATCGAGGCCCGTGAGCAGGTTTTCACTATTTCAATAAAATGTTCGTATTCCTCAGGGATTGGCACGACCGATGTGATCATGTCATCTAACATGTCTGAGAATTTAGTCCAATCTGCCTTTCTGAAGTTGTATCTTCGTTTAAATCGAACTTCCTGAGGCCTTATTGTTGGGAACAGTTGGCATATTATTGGTCGGTGCTGTGTGTTTGGGATTGGTGGTCCCACTGATTTAGTGCATTGCTGTACAATGCTGTCGCTCACAAATAGGAGGTCTGGGTTATAACCTCGGTGCCATCTCCCGCTGTTGTAGGATGGTGGGAGCTTGCTATCATGGATGAGTGATAGTTTGTGCAGTTCAGACCAGGACAGGACAGCCTCTCCATTTCTGTCCTCTTGGGCATAGCCCCATACGTGGCTATGGCTGTTGAAGTCACCAATTACTACCGCCCTTTGGTGCCTGTCAAAGTTCTCGGGGGAGGAGAAGCAGAACTCTTCATTTGGGGGCTTGTACACAGAGGTGATGGTGATGTTATTAAGCTCTACTGTTAGAACCTCGATATTGTTTTCTTCAGTATTGTGGGCACTGCTGACTTGGAGGCCTGGTTTGACAAAGACAGCACTTCCATACTGCGCATGTGGTCTTTCCGCTACTAGGATCATTCCTGGAACTTTGGGTCGTTTCTGTCGTTCATCCCTGTGTGTTTCTTGGACACACAGCACATCACATTTCTTATCTCGGCACAGTTCATAGAGCAGTTGTTCTTTGGCAGCTGACATGCCTTCGATGTTGATTGAGATTATTGTCATGGTTGGTCCTGAAAAGGACCGTTGGTTGTTTTTCTTTCTTGTTTGCATGCTGCAAGTCGTCTCTGGTTGCTTCTGGATCGAGAGAATCGGCCGTCTACGAAGACGTTGCCCAGGGGACGCCCGGATGTCTTGCAATCCTGCGAGGAGGCTTCTCTCATGTCCCCCAGCTTCTGAAGTGCTGGGGGACAGAAGTGAAGCTTCTGAAGTATAACAGCTGCTCTCAAAGTACATATCACCCAATTAAACAGGAAACAATGCTTTCAAACCAGGAACATAAAATAATTAAAATTTTGTTACATAGTTTTATGGTATCTATACTATTGGATTAAAACCTTTGAAGTCCATGTTGATTGTTGAGCACCGATCCCAAACACAGCCATCTTCCAAGCAAACCAAAACCAACAAACATCCCGTGATGATTGGGGAGTCACAACGGGGGCAGGGCTGTGAATCCTGGAAGCCCCTAGCTACAGATGGGTGGGGGAAATGGATTCTGTCATATCTAACCCATCACCAAGACACTTCCTTTGGTAGACAATCATTCTCAGCCATGAGTGATTGCTAATGATGATGATGAAGAAGAAACCAGTGGATTCAAATGACAAGAAAAGAGACCTAGAAAGTGCTTCTTGACTTTAAAAGCAGCTTTAACTGTGGAATAGGCAGCCTGAGGTTGATGGCCAGAGAGATTGGTTGGCAAGCTTTTGGGAGAGATGTGGTTCCGTATCGCTGCATGGAAGGAGATTGGACTTGCAGGATTTGTAGCTCTTTCCAAGTCTTTTCTGTGACATCATCTGTAATTGTACAGTTAACAGGGGTTGAATTTTTGCACTTTATTGGAATCATATTTTTTTTTGTAGCAGCAAGAGCTAGAAAATCATTTTTATAGTAATCTACTAGCTTGGGTACCCGGCGCTGCCCGGGTTATTAGAGAAAGCGGTTCTGTATGCCAAGTTTGGTCTTTATTGGTCATTGGATAACGGTTGCATTGTTTTCAGGAAGTGAGAGAAGGTACTTGAAGTCCCATCATCCATGGTCCACCCCCCTCCAAACAGCAGCAGGATATAGAATGGGTCACGGGGGCTCTGTGTGCCAAGTTTAGTCTTTATCAGTCATTGGATGAGGGTGTCAGTGGTTTCAGTAAGTGAGTGAAGGTACTGCAAGTCCCATCATCATCCATGTTCATCCCTCCTCCAAACTGCAGCAGGATGTAGAGTGGGTCATGGGGGTTCTGTTTGCCAATTTGGTCTTGATTGGTCATTGGATGAGGGTCGCAGTGATTTGAGAGTGAGTTTAGGTACTGCAAGTCCCATCATCCATAGTCTGTTCTCCCCCAAACCTCACCAGAATGTTGAGTTGGCCAAGGGGGCTCTCTGTGCCAAGTTTGGTCTTTCTTGGTATTTGGATAAGTGTCGCTGTGGTTTCAGGAAGTGAGTGAAGGTACTGGAAGTCCCATCATCCATCGTCCGTCCTCCTCCAAACAGCATCGGGATGTAGAGTGGGTCATGGGGGCTCTGTGTGCCAAGTTTGGTCTTGATCAGACATTAGATGAGGGTTGCAGCAGTCTTGGGAGGGGAGTTGAGGTACTTGAAGTCCCATCATCCATGGTCTGTCCTCCTCGAAAGTGCACCAGGATGTAGAGTGGGTCATGGGGACTCTGTGTGCCAAGTTTGGTATTGGCAAGGGTCTCAGTGGTCTCAGGAAGTGAGTGAAGTGACTGCAAGTCCCATCATCCATTGTCAAATTCTTCCAAACCACACCAGTAGAGTGGGTCATGCGGGCTCTCTGTGTAAATTGTGGCCCTGATCCATCATTGTTGGCAGTTGTAATGGTCTTAAGAAGGGAGTGCAGGTATTGCAAGTCCCATCGTCCATGGTGCATCCTCCTCCAAACTGCACCAGGATGTAGAGTGCATCATGGAGACTCAGTGTGCCAAGTTTGGTCTTTATCGGTAATTGGATGAGGGTTGCAGTGGTCTCAAAAATTGAGCAAAGGTACTGCAAGTCCCATAATCCATGGTCCATCCTTGGCCGGATGCAGAGTGGGTCATGGGGGCTCTGTGTGCCAATTTGGTCTTGATTGGTCATTGGATGAGTGTTGCAGAAGTCTTGGGAAGTGAGTGGAGGTACTGCAAGTCCCATCATCCATACTCTGTTCTCCCCCAAACCTCACCAGAATGTTAAGTTGGCCAAGGGGGCTCTCTGTCCCAAGTTTGGTCTTTCTTGGTATTTGGATAAGTGTCGCTGTGGTTTCAGGAAGTGATAGAAGGTACTGGAAGTCCCATCATCCATCGTCCGTCCTCCTCCAAACAGCATCGGGATGTAGAGTAGGTCATGGGGGCTCTGTGTGCCAAGTTTGGTCTTGATCAGACATTAGATGAGGGTTTGCAGCAGTCTTGGGAGGGGAGTTGAGGTACTTGAAGTCCCATCATCCATGGTCTGTCCTCCTCGAAAGTGCACCAGGATGTAGAGTGGGTCATGGGGACTCTGTGTGCCAAGTTTGGTCTTGATCAGTCATTGGCGAGGGTCTCAGTGGTCTCAGGAAGTGAGTGAAGTGACTGCAAGTCCCATCATCCATTGTCAAATTCTTCCAAACCACACCAGTAGAGTGGGTCATGCGGGCTCTCTGTGTAAATTGTGGTCCTGATCCATCATTGTTGGCAGTTGTAATGGTCTTAGGACGGGAGTGCAGGTATTGCAAATCCCATCGTCCATGGTGCATCCTCCTCCAAACTGCACCAGGATGTAGAGTGCGTCATGGAGAACTCAGTGTGCCAAGTTTGGTCTTTATCGGTAATTGGATGAGGGTTGCAGTGGTCTCAGGAATTGAGCAAAGGTACTGCAAGTCCCATAATCCATGGTCCATCTCTGGCCAAACCACACCAGGACGTAAAGTGGGTCATGAGAGGTCTATGTGCCAAGTTTGGTCCTGATCAGTCATTGGATGAGGTTAACAGCGGTCTCAGAATGTGAGTGATGGTACTCCAAGTCCCATCATCCATGGTTCATCCTCCTCCAAACTGCAGTAGGATGTCGAGTGGGTCATGGGGGCTCTGTGTGCCAAGTTGGTCTGTATTGGTAATTTTCTGACTCAGCCCCCCCTGGCCTTTTCCTTTCCTCTCTTTGTCATCTCGGAATCTTGGAATTGAGGCTGGCCAATCAGAGACCATATGCAAATTTCCTTCTCATGTCCCCGTTTCTGTCATGAACTCTTTTCTCCACCAGGGGCTCCTCTTGAAGCTGGCCAATCAGAGACCATATGCAAATAGCACCACAGTGGCAGCCAATCAGAACGCTGGCACATACTCCTCCCGCCACACTGCCACACTTTTGTCCGTCGCATACAAACTTTGACTTTTATTATATGTATAGATTGTTAGAAGCTGGAAGTGATGATATAAAATTAAAAAATGAAGTCGTTGCAGAGATTGTTTATTATTTCAGGTATTTAAGAAAAACAGCAGGGAATGGAAGAAGTAAATGTAGGTATGCTTGCCTACATAAGCCTAGGTATGCTTATAAAAACTTCAAGTTAAGCCGACTTGAGTCCCAATACCAGTAAAAAGGCAGAATAAAAAACACAGTATGTTTTTTAGAAGTCAATAATGCCAACCTCCTGCACTTCCTCTGTTTTTTCCAGGCTCCTCCCATTCCATGCGCTTTTTTGTCACTTCTGTCTCCGAACCTGGGCAGCAGGTGCCCCAGTTTTTCTATGTGGGCTACGTGGATGACCAGGAGTTTGTTTCCTATGATGCCAAAGCCAAGAGGTATCTTCCGAAGGTTCCCTGGATAAGGGAGGTGGAGAAGGACGATACTGATTACTGGAAGCGGAACAGCCACTATGCTCAGGGCCATGAGCGGAACTTCCAGGACCACATGGTGACTCTGGCTAAGTACTACAATCAGAGCGGAGGTAATTACAATTACAGTGAAGTAAATCTACTATATCCGCCCGCTCCCAAAACATCTTAGAACTGTTTTCTCAATAGTGTTTTTCAGTGTGTTGGAAATTAAGTCTTAGAAACTGTAAACCACTATTGGTGCTGATTATTTAGTTTATTCTTCATTGGGCTGTACAATTGGCCTTTCACATTTGCATGTTTAATTGTTCTGGAACAGCTGTTCCAGGAGCTCCAAATTTATTTGCTTTGAATTAAATGTTGGTTTGCAATCCCAGGCTTGGGATTTTGCAGCAGGGTGGCTTCCTGTTATAGTTTGCAATCATAGGGCAAGCCACCTGTCTATTATAGTTAGGATCCCTGGTCCCGCCCCTCTCTGGGTTTTTTGGAGGGAAGGGGCCATCTTTCAGTTAGTCTCAGCAAAGGAAGTCAATGCAAAGGATGTATACAGACATCCTCCTGTGCAAAGACTTTGTCCCTTAAGACTTTCCAGGGGAGAACAGTCTTGAGAGCCTCTAAAGATTCCCAAAGGTTCTGGGGAAACAGCCCTGAGGAATTCCGGAGGGAATAACAGCTCTAACCATCAAAGCAGCTAAGTGATTACAGGCCTGTTGGTACGTCTACTCGGTTCTGAGACGCAGTTCAGCCGGTAGTGGATTCAAATCAGTCAGGTTTAGGTTCACAGCAGCCTGGGAGGAGCTAGAAAGGGGAATTTTCCTTTGAACAAGGTTTTTGAAGATAGTGCCTGTTCCCTGTGAACAAGATTGCAAGAGCCAAGAGACTGTTAAGAAAACTTTACAATTCCTGTTTGTTCATCAATAAAAGACTGTTATATTTAAGCTCAAGCCTCATAAAGACTGTTTAATAAGGGAAATTTCTCTAAAGGCTTCTTTTTGGGGGCCCTGGCTTCCCGCTGGATCCAAGCCATACATCCTCTCTTAAAGGCACTTCATTTCAGGTCCAGCGGCGACAGAACATTAGCTTTGCAGATTTGAGTAATTGTGGATTTCATTAAAATGGTCTAGGTTTCCACTCTGGTGGAAGCTGATCAGAGAGTGACACTGGGGTACCTAGGAGTTCCTAGAGCAGTGGTTCTCAACCTGTGGGTCCCCAGATGTTTTGGCCTTCCAGAAATCCTAACAGCTGGTAAACTGGCTGGGATTTCTGGGTGTTGTAGGCCAAAACACAGGTTGAGAACCACTGTTCTAGAGAGATGTTCTCCCAGGCTAAAAAAAAGTAGCAACAATATCTATTTGTGGTTTTCCTGCTTTCAGATTGTCCTGCACTCCTAGCCCCAGCCAAATGTATATCTCCAAATGTAGATTTATTATATTTGATTAACCCAAGAGTAGCAGGGGCCCCCTTATGTAAAGAGGCATCACATGAAAATGGTCCTTTTGAAAAGGGGTGCTCCATGGGAATTACAGGATAATCTGAAGAAGCAGTAAAGGAGGAGGAGGAGGAGGAAGCCAGTGAATAGGCTTCATTATTTCAGTTTTAATGCTGAACCTGGTGTAAAAATCCCTCTTGGGCTTCTCTTATTGAGCTGAACTACTCAAGGGGAGGTGAAGTGCGGTGTAGCAGCTGCTTCCTCTCTAGTGTCTTCTGCCCCCTTTCTCATCTCCAAGACTTCTGTGGCTCTCTTTCAGGGCTTCACACTTTTCAGTTGGTGTACGGCTGTGAGCTAAGGAAAACCTGGACCATGGAAGGGTATTACCAGTACGCCTACGACGGGAGGGACTACATCAGCTTTGACAAGGAGACCCTCACCTGGACAGCAGTCGATGTCCCAGCCCAGAACACCAAGAGGAAGTGGGACGCTGACTTCGTATACAACCAGTTCAAGAAGGTCTACCTGGAGGAGACCTGCATTGAGTGGCTGCAGAGATACCTGAACTATGGGAAAGAGATGCTTCTGAGGACAGGTGAAGGAGGGGGTCATGATGAGCATGGCAGGGAGGGGGCCTGAGAGGAGGGCTGCAGTGTCTTCATAGCCTGCTCATTCCCCACACTTTCGTGTTTTAATGTTAGGAAAACGGAGACTCCAGGCAGGGAAGGGACAAGGGGAGTCTGAAGACCAAGGGAGGAGGAGGTGGGGAGACACATCTTTGAATGCTTTTCCAGATTTTAGGAGGGAAGATCTTAGAAGTAGTAAACTGATGCAGAGAAGATGCAAATCAGGAATCCTCAAGCTCCAGCCCTCCAGCCATTTATGACTCCAGCTCTCAGAATTCCCAGCTATTGAACAAGCTGGCTAGGAGAATATTTCACCTTCTAAAATAATTACTGTAACTGCTACAGACAAAGACAGTGGCCCAAATGGGCAGTTAAATTATAAAATTATAATTGGAGGCCCAAACAACTGGGAGGACCGAGTTTGAGGATGCCTGATGCAGGTGGAGATTAGATTTTGCCACGTGTTTTCTTTGAAGGACATGTGATCCTGTCTAATATTTGGAAACCTTCCAAACATACAGTCTTTGTTCACCTTCCATCCTGAGATAGTACACACCATTCAAGTGCAAAAAGGAGGATGGGAGGAGGAAAAAAGGGGAATGTAGCAGCACCTAATTTAAAATTAACTGCTTTTTTATTTTATCACCTGTTATTCATGAAAGAAAATCTTGGGTTATTAAGAGTATTTGTGCATTTGTGTTGCTGTTGTGATGCCACTCTGTCCTACAGCTGAAGAAGTGGATTTACTTCTATGGAAGCTCATGCTAAAATAAAAAGGAGTTAGTCTTTCAGCTTTTGTCACATTCCTTTCTTTCTCCCACCTAATTTTGTGCTACAGGAGACTAAGATAATTACTTTTAAAAGACTTTCCAAGGGATCAGGGTGGTCAAGCTTCGTTTGGGAGGGACAGGTCACACAGTTTGAGAGAGCGGAAGATAGGATCCCTTCCCCAGGAAGCCCAAACAAGGGCATTCACCCTGCCTGACATTTGGAAAGGACCTATCCTAATTCTCATGTCATTCTTGCAGAGGCACCAGAAGTGAAGGTGACACGCAAGGTGGGCTATGACGGCATGGAGGCTTTGATCTGCCATGTGCAGGGTTTCTACCCCAAGGAGATTGACATCGATTGGACAAGGGATGGAGAAGTCTGGCTGCAAGATACCTACCATGGCCTGGTGTCCCCCAACTCAGATGGGACTTACTACACCTGGTGGAGCGTCATGGTGGACCCCAAGGAGAGGGAACGCTACAAATGCCACGTGGAGCACGATGGGCTTCTGAATCCTGTGGACGTGGCTTGGGAGGAGCCTGGTGAGTCATTTGAGAAGGGAGGGTGGGTCCTGGGAGGGGCAAGAGGAGGGCCAACCCACAGAGACACCATCAATAGCACCACAGGCTTAGTCATCAGCATTACCGTTGTATAGTTTCCATACCAATGCAGATTATTTATACCTAATCAGGAAATCCAAAGGACTCTAAACTAGGATGTGTGGTTGGCCTAGGGTCCTTCCACATAGCCCTATATCCCATAATATCAAGGCAGGAAATCCCACATTATCTGAGTGTGGACTCAAATAACCCAGTGTGATTTTCTGCCTTGATATTCTGGGATATAGGGCTATGTGGAAGGGCCCTAAAAGAGAAACACTTTTGCTTTACCATCAGAAAGCAAAGATGTCATTATCTTAGCCACCCACATGGACAGTTTCAGAGTCTTTCATAATTTCTGATAAGGGATCCTCGAAGCTATATTGTTTTCTGATGATACAATGTACACAAACTTCGTTTTAAAAACTGTGTGCAGAAAATGTATATGAAACAAAAAAAATGAATTTTGGATTTGAACCTAAGTCCCATCTCGAAGGTAAATTATTATGCATATGCAAATATTTCAGAATCTGAAAAAAGAACCTGGAAATACTGTGTTCCTGAGTATTTCTAATAAGGGATGCTCAGCCTGGACTCTGTCCTATGTAAAGCTCAGCTGACATCCTACAGCCTCTCATCCTCAGTGGCTCTGATGATAAGTTTGTAAATGTTTACATTATTTGTAGACAATGTGCCAACAAAACACAATAAGTAACCTTATTATTTCACTATGTATTTGTTTAAAGCAGGGATCCTCAAACTTTTAAAGCTCAGGGCTGGTTTGTAGTCCCTCAGACTGTTAGTTGTGTTGGGAAGGGACAGATTATAATTTGAATAAAAACATGAACAAATTCCTGTGCGCACTGCACATATTTTTTGTAGTGCAAAAAAAACCTATGAAAAATACAATATTTAAAAAGAAGAACAATTATAATTAAATAGAAGCTTTACCACTGTTTATGAACCAAAACATACCCTGCAGCATAATAATGTGTCACTCAGATTTGTATAATGAGTAACAGTAACTTTACTTCAGTTCAGAAGGTCAAAAAGAGCAACAATATATACAACAGTCTCTCTGAATTCTTGCTGAGAACAGAGGGAATAAACAATCCTTTTAAAATGTCTTTAAAATATGCTTCATGCCTTAGAAATTATCGGACTTCGGAGAGTTGGCAGCCATTTCCTTCTTGTTTCCAATCAGCGCTCTCTTCACTCTCCAAAGTAAAAGTGGCGGTTTAAACCGTTTCTCTCAGCAGCACGCTAGAGACAGTAGCCAATCAGAATTTTGGTTCCTAACTGGCTTAGCCAATCAGCTGCCGTCACATGTCTTACCAGTCAACCCATTACATCATGGTGCCTTTTTACAATTCCCGACAGTTTAGAGTATTTATATCCTGAGCAGCTGATGTTCCATTGATTTGACAGGCACATGTCCTCGGACATAAAATACAAAGAAGATACAAAAGGAAAAAGGAATGGCTGTGCAAGGAGAGATTACATTCAGCATTTTCCAGTCGCTGTTCTCTCCGTCAGAGATCAAAGCAAAGGCAGTTGGGACATGGAGACAGAATCTACTGGGGTTTAGGCACGAAGGTGGAACTGTGCGTAGCTACCCTTCTATTATGGCAACTTCCAATTTTACAAGCTTTTAACAGATTATGAGAGCTGAGTTGTTGCTTGAACATACAAACACACACACACACACATTTGTCACACACTTTAACCTTGGTCTCCATGAACTCCCCAGTACTTGGACCACCTCCTTCCTGCTCTATAAGGGGTTTGTTTTGGGGTTTTCTTTTTAATTCTTTCATTCTTTCCTGTTTTACCTTCAGCCTCCAACCTAGATCTCCCCTTCATATGTGTTGCGGGTGTTGTCCTCCTGGTAGCAATTGCTGTTCTGCTGTATATGTCAGTGAGTACATTCAGAATGTATATCCTTGTGTGGGGAGGCATTCTGTGGTGATGTGTTGAATCATTGTCCCATTGAGGACCTTCCTTCCCTTGAAGAGAAGGTTCAGCTTAGCCAATCTAAGAAAACGAGCTTCTATGTGGAGTTTCAAGGCAGGAAAAGTAGATGGAGGAGGCAAAAGAATGGCTTACCCCAAGGCAGCGTTCTTGCACCAACCTTGTTTAATATTTAATATCTTTACTATCAGCCACAACCACCACTCACCAAGCACTTTATATATGCTGATGACCTTGTCCTAACAACACAAGCAAAAGACTTTGAAATAGTTGAAATCCTACTTCCTAATGCCCTGAAAGATCTCTCCAGCTACTGCAAAAATAACCAGCCGAAGCTTAACCCTGCCAAGACACAAGTGTGTGCTTTCCAACAGTTCCTACGCAACTGTGACGCTAACAGGAAATTGAAACTCACATTGGGAAGGTCAACAGCTTGAACACTGTTTCCATCCTAAATATCTCGGTGTCACCTTAGATCGAACACTACCATATAGGAAACACTGCTTGAACAAGCACAAAGTAGCTGCACGCAATAACATCCTGTGAAAACATACTAGCAGCACATGGGGTGCAGATCCAAAATTAATAAAAATATCAGCCCTAGCCTTGCCTTACTCAACTGCTGAGTATGCCTGCCCTGTCTGGCATAGGTCTGCCCATGCAAAGCAGGTGAACATAGCATTGAATGAAACATGCAGAATAATCACAGGATGTCTTAAACCTACACCTGTTGATAAACTCTACAAGCTAGCTGGCATTGCCCCCCCCCCCTCCCGATGTGCAACGGGAAGTTGCTGCTAAATGTGAGAGAAATAAGGTTGAACCTTGTGAAAGCCACCCACTACATGGCTACCAGCCTCCTCCCAGTAGACTCAAATCAAGGAAAAGCTTTATGAGAACTACCACTCCTCTTGGCGTCCCCCCAGCAACAGCAAGGGTATCCCTCTGGGCAGCTAAACCAGGAAATCCCAACTGGATGGCCCCCCGAGGGTCTTCCTCCAGGGGCAAACCAAGAATGGGCAACTTGGAAGTCCCTGAACAGACTCAGAAGTAGAGTGGCAGATCAAAAGACAACCTGGCAAACTGGCATTACCTAAAAGAACCCCACACCTTGTGTGACTGTGGAGCAAAACAGACAACTGCATCTGTGTGCTTGTCCACTGTGCCCTGCCTCACGTACAGAGGAGGAATTGTTGGTGGCTACAGACAATGCCATTGCTGTTGCCCGTTTTTGGTCAAAAGACATTTAGCCACCTGCGCTCCTTCTGTTTTTATTGGTTTTATACTAATTTATGCAATGCTTTTGATACGAAATAAATAAATAAAGCTTAGCCAACAACTTCTAGGCAAGGACTGCTCACTTTCTCTCAGTCCGCATCATGAGCTTGAGTCTCAGCCTGTAGCCTTGCTAATGCCTTTTCTAAAAGTCTGGAAGGCCTCCATCCCTGCAGTTGTTGGGAAGGAATGGGAAAACCCCTGTGGGGGGGGGGGGGGGGGGGGGGGGGGGGGGAGGAGGGTGTGTGGCCTTCTTCACCATAGAATGAGATTGTGTTTATCTCTGAGAGCCAGCTTTAACTCCCCAATTCTGTCTCTGCAGAAAAAACGGAGGGCTGCAAGGCGGCTGTAGGTGAGTATTGGTTTCCCCAATTGCCTTCAACCAAGGGATAAAAGTGGGACATAAAGAAAGAAACATAACGAGAACAATTCTAAGTTTACTCCAAGGGGTGAGACAGGAGTGGGCATCAGTGGATGTGCCGAGGAATGTGCTCCTATGTCTCTAAGAGTTTAGGCCAAGGAGAGTAAAATGGAAACAACTTCTGCTGACTTTCTGTTGTGAAAGGAGTTTGTGGCTTCCAGACCTTCAATCATTTTAGTCATCTGGACACATAGGAGGCTGGAAACTAGATTCTTTTACACAGTTTGAATTAAACCAGTGGAAAATAAAACCACTGAAAACAGATATATAAAGAAGACATTGGGAAAGCATTTTAGAATAGGCTCCTTCTTTTTTAAAAAACTAGCTGTACCCGCCATGCGTTGCTGTGGCCAAGCTTCCCTCCCTCTTTTTCTTCTTTCTTTCTTTCTCTCCTTCCTTCCCTTTTTTCTTTCTTCCTCTCCTTCCTTCTCTTCTTCTTCTCTTCCTCCCCACCCCCAAACCTTTTCTTTCCCTTTTTCTTTCCTTTCTTCCTTTTCTATCTATTAAATTCTGGCTGAGCTTACTTGTTCGAATGCATCTGCCTCTGAGTCCCACCTCAAAATTTAAGATCATCCGGGGATGGCCTGCTCTCACTCCCACCAACATTGCAAACGCACCTGGTGGGGACAAGAGGCAGGGCCTTCTTGGCAGTGGCCCCTCACCTGTGGAACGCGCTTCCAAGTGAGATAAGATCGCTTCATCCCTCCTGGCTTTCAGGAAGAAATTGAAATCGTGGTTTTGGGACCAGGCTTTTGGACAGTGGACTTAATTAGCACTTCGGTTGGAAATTGACTAGAACGGTGTGACAGCTGATGATACTGTTTATTGTTTTAATTAATGCTTTATGTACTGTTTTTAAGTGTTGCTTTATATGTTTTAATGGTTGTTGTATTATTGTAATTGTTTATTTGTAGCAGGATCTAATCGCTGCCAAAATGTAAGCCATCCTGGGTCCCCCTTCGGGGGTAGAGAAGAGACGGGGTAGAAATACCGGAAATAAACAAATAATAAATACCTACTATTGGACTGCAACTCCCAGCAGTCCTCCCGATCAATCTACCTACCTACTTATCTATCTCTATCTAATCTATTTATTATCTGGAGGATTGCTGGAGTTGCAGTCCAGGAAAGAGGAAATTGGAAATATGGGATTGGGATGCTCTCAAAGAAATCCAAGAAGAAGAAAGCTTGCAGTTTGGAAGCAGTGCATTTGGATCATCTTCTCTCCTAAAGGACCTGGTCTAGGGGATGCTGGGAGCTATAGTATGGAAGAGAGTGTGGATATGCTATTGTGTGTTTTGTTTGCCAGGGGAAGTTGTTTTTGCACATGCACTGTAGTGTCTTTTTGCTTTTTTGGCTTTTTAAGTCCCTTCTGCTGTGTTTTTCAGTGTTTTATGAGTGATGGTCACTCCCTGCCACGCATTGCTGTGGCCCAGCCTGTGTATTTGTGTTTTGTGTGTGTGTATATTTGTGTATATGTGTGTTTACATATATATATCTATATAAATAAAAATGTAATGTTCGTTTGTGGGATTAACAGAACTCAAAAACCACTGGACGAATTGACACCAAATTTGGACACAAGACACCTAACAACCCAATGTATGTCCTTCACTCAAAAAAATTGAGTTTGTCATTTGGGAGTTGTAGTTGCTAGGATTTATAGTTCACCTACAATCAAAGAGCATTTTGAACTCCACCAATGATAGAATTGGCCACACAGAACTCCCTTGAACAAGAGAAAACACTAGAAGGGTTTGGTGGGCATCGACCTTGAGTTTTGGAGTTGTAGTTCACCTACATCCAGAGATCACTGTGGACTCAAACAATGATGGATCTGGACCAAACTCTACATGAATACTCAATATGCCCAAATGTGAACACTGGTGGAGTTTGGGGGAAATAGAATCTTGACATTTGGGAGTTGTAGTTGCTGGGATTTATAGTTCACCTACAATCACAGAGCATTCTGAACCCCACCAATGATAGAATTGGGCCAAACCTCCCACACAGAACCCCCATGTGGGCCACAGCAACGCATGGCAAGGGATGGCTAGTATAGATATATATATGTAGTTTTGTGCATGCATTGTAATGTATTTTTATTTTTTGGCTTTTTAAGTCTCTTCTGCTGTGTTTTCCAGTGTTTTTATGAGTGATGGTCACTCGTTGCCCTGATAGGTGTATTGTGTTCAAATTTGGTGTAGATGCCTAGATTTGCATTTAAATAGATGCAAATCTAGGCTCTGTTTAAAAGAGAAAGAGACTCCACCACAGTCTTAGGCAGCAGCATATTCAACTGGCAGCTCCTTCCTCAGGAAATGTATCTTAATTAGGGTAGGTGGAATATCATTTTCTGCAATGTGTGTGTTGAAGTTTTGGGGATTTCCTGATACCACAATTTGTGTATGTATTTATGTGTACATGTGTTCACATTTGACTTGAGAAAAAGGGACAAACGTTTAAACGCAAAATTTATTGCCCAAGGAACTAAACCCCCCGTTTTTTCTCTCCTTTTCAGGAAGTGACCAAGAATCCAGTCGCACGGGGTCAGGTAAGTGTTAAGAGTAGAAAGAATTGCAAGTGAAAAAGAGAGCGATTCCCCTCTCAAGTTGATTTTTCAGTCTGATCCCCTTTGTCCCCCAGACTTCCAGGTGAGCAAAAGGCCAGCCCCCCTGCTCCTGTTTGGATTCTCCCTCCATCCTATTGAATTTAT